TATATATATATTTCTCAGCCAGTTTTTGTTTCATCTTTTGAGAATCATGTTTAGTTTCTTATCTCAATTTTTAATTGGGTTGTTTGATCTTTTTCATGTTTAATACTTTTAGTTATTTGTATATTGTAGATAATAACCCTCTGTCAGAGGTATAGCTGTTAAAGATTTTTTCCCATTACGTAGGTTGCTTCTTCACTGGAATGATGGTGCCCTTTGCTGTACAGAAAGCTTTAGTTTTATGAGGGCCCATGTGTCAATTGTGGGCCTAATGCCAGCGCTATGGGAGTCCTGTTCAGAAAGTACTTTTCTGAAGTGCCTACTCCAGAGTACCTACTTTCTCCTCTATCAGATTCAGTGTATTCCATCTTCTATTGGGGTCTTTGCTCCAATTGGAGTTGAATTTTGTGCATGATGAGAGAGAAATATCTAATTCTATTCTTCTACACATAGCTATCCATTATGACCAGCACCATTTATTGAACACATTGTCCTTTCTTCAATATGTAGTTTTGACACCTTGGTTAAAAAAAAGAAATCAAATGGCTATAAATGCATGGATTTAAATCTGGGTACTCAATTTGACTCCACTGATCAATGCATCTCCTTTTATGTCAGCACCATGGTGTTTTTCTTACTATATCTCTGTAGTATAGTTTCTCCAGAAGTTCTTTATTGTCCCAGATTATTTTGGTGATATTGCATATTTTGCGATTCTGCTTGAAATCTGAGATTATTTTTTCCAGTTTCCATGAAGAATTGTTTTGTAATTTCAACGGGTATTGCATGGAATCTGTAGACTTGTTTTGGTAGGATGACCATTTAAAAAAATATTAATCTAACCAATCCAAGAGCATGGGAGGGTTTTCCATTTTCTTGTATCTTCTTCATTTTGCTTCTTCAATATCTTCACATTTTTATTATACAAGTCCTTGACCTCTTTGGTTAGACTTATTACAAGATATTTTGTTTTGTAAAGATTGTGAATGGGATCCTTTCCCTCAGTTTTTTTCTTGATTTCCTTGCTGTTGGTATATAGAAAGACTACTGATTTGGGGGTGTTAATTTTTTATCATGCCACTTTGAAAATTGTGTTTATAAGCTATAAGATCTTCCTGGTGGGGTCTTTTGGGTCTTTTATGTATAGAATCTTATCACCTGAAAATAAGGATACTTTGACTTCTTTCTTTCAGATTCATATGCCTTTTATCTTCTTTGTTTCTCTTATTGTTCTTGCTAAAACTTCAAGTACTATATAGAACAGAAATGGAGAGAATGGACTTCTTTATCTTGTTCCTTATTTTAATGAGAATGTTTTGATTTTTTTGCCATTTTAAGTACAGTGTTGGCTGTGGGCTTGTTGTATTTTTACCTTTTATATTGAGACATATCCAGTTTATCCCTAGTTTCTCTTTGACTTTTATCATAAATGGATGTTGGATTTTGTCAAAGGCCTTTTCTGCATCTAATGAGAGGATCATGTAGTTTCTGTCA